CCCTGCGCTGCCGAGGGACAACCACCTCCACCCCAGAGCCCCCGGCTCCCCCACGCTGAGAGACAACGGAAATATAATGGGGAGCCTCAGGGAGTTTCTCTCTATTTGCAGAGTAAGAACTAGAGCTGGGCACCGTGAGCCATCGCACGCCGGGCAGCCAAGGCCGTGCTGCCGGCAGCGTCTGCTGCAGAGGCGCTTTTCCGAGAAGCGCCTCACACTTTGCTGTGACTTATTTCCCCACCGCTTCAGCGGAGTCCTGCCCTGAACCACAGCGACTTCCTGGGGTCTGCAGCCCTGGTGAATCAGCGGTGCTGCCCACTGAGTCACGGCCCCTCGCACCACACCGGGTCTGAAATGGTGCTTCGGGGCCTGATCCTGCAGCCCCTGGCGTTTCCCACAAAACAAAGGGCACGGGGCAGAAAAGGAAGAACCTCTTCAGCCACTAAGTACGGGGAAGTCTTTTTTTACCCTCAAATCGACAGTCTTTCAAGTAAGATGCTTTGCAATAAACAAAAAGATAAAAAGCAGAGCCTACATTAAAACTCCACCCCAGATGAACTGCCCACAGCCACAGTCACCACTTCAAAGAGGGAGGCCAGTACATTAGGAGGAAGAAGATCTGGTAGCTGAACAAACAGGCTGAGAGTCAGCAGAGCTTAATTCAGTCTCTGGTTTGCCACAGACTTCCCAGGGCGACCTTTGAGGTGCTACTTTAGCCCTAGATCAATGGGGTCCTTAAAGATTTGCCTGGCCCAACACACTGCAGGCATCCCTGCCCTGGGGCGGCAGAAATGGTGCCTTGGGGACGGCTGTGGCACCCTGGTGCTGGCTCCTGGGGCAGGGGCACACACTGGGCAGATCAGAAAAAAAAAGCCTCGTATGATCTTAATAAAAATAGAAGTGATTTAATTCTGGTCCGTGAGGAAATGCACAGAGCTTATTCAAGAAACACCGCCTGATGTTCTCCTCTATTTGTAACCTCCCCGTGCCCCACAGATATGGGGAGGGGGGCTTCTGTCTGCCAGCTCCCGCTGCATGCGGCCGGGAGCCCAGGCCCCAGGCGCGTTTCGACACGTGGGGTCTGGTCTTTCCTCGGCGGGCGCTAACCGGCCCTAGAGGGGCGGCCGAGGGAGGGAGGGGAGCGTTTAGAAAGCAGAGAGGGCAAAAGGACAAAGGAGCTGCAAGCAGAAACGCAGGGGAGGGCAGAAGAAAGGGCGGGCTGCTCTTTTTTATTGATTTATTATCCCCGCGTTACACGGAAGGAAAATAAAAAATGCAATCCAGGGGCTATAGACACACGTTTCGGGGC